CTCAGATTCTCCAGCATCTGCAGTTCCTATTATCTCTGAAACTGCTTAATGTAGAATGTTTAATAAGCATTTGACAGATATTACTGGTGTAAAGCATAATCCAGGTAAGAGTGACAAAAGGGGATTTACGCTATCAAGATTTACGCCCCATTATCTCAGGCCTACTCAGGCAATTTTTAGTTACTTGTGCTGTTTAGTTGACTCATTTATTTACTCTAATTAGTCAGGAATCTCCATTTGTATGATGTCTCTTTCAGCTAAGTGATTATATGGTGCTTGATAGCATACATTCATAGATAGCAGCTCTTAACCTTGAGCTTTAATCATGTAGTCTATTTGTCATTTTCTGGTAGAAAAGAAGTTTTCTACATTCAATGCTCTGTCTTCTTGACTTTAAAAAACATATTTATATAATTTTCTTCTCCCATTTTTGTACCTTTTCTTCGCTGACTTCATTGTAGATTTTAAAAGTGAATGCTACTGTTGAATTCTATCCAGTGTTTCTGTTTTGAAATAAATGAGTGAACATTAGGCATTACACTTCTGTTTTGTTTTGCTTACTCAAATTTTTGACCCTTTAATCTTTGCCAGTCTGCTGTGTGGTGCTTTGTCAAAGACTTTGAACATACACTACATTAACTGTATTTCCCCCCATTGATCATACTTGTCACCTTCTCAAAGGACTCCTTTATGATTGTTAAATGGAGTCTTCGTTTCTGGAATATATATTCCCTACTTTTAATTATTTTTAGTTCTAGATTTTTATGAAATCATAGGCAAAGATTTTGATTTTTCTTTTCCCTCCCACAATTGTTAAGTTGACGGACCCGTATTCCCTTTGATTCTCTTTGTAAAAATGCTTATTACGTTAGCCCTGCTTTAGTCGTCTGGCACATATCCATTGTACATAGAATGCTGAAATGTAGTTTCTGGGGCCTCCACTATTATTTTTCCAGTTTCCTTCCAGGCCCTGCTATAACCCATCAGATTCTACTATTTGTCTTCTCTCAGCTTAACTAATTTCAGTGACACTATATTTTGTCACTTCTTGAATTTCTGCTTTCATTTTTACCAATTTCACTGTTTATCTGTTCTCTATCGTCATTCTGTTTCACACAAAATGAAGTTAAGTTTTTAAGTATCCCTATAAATTTCCAATTAGAACATAGAACATAGAACATTACAGCGCAGTACAGGCCCTTCGGCCCTTGATGTTGCGCCAACCTGTGAAACCAATCTGAAGCCCATCTAACCTACGCTATTCCGTTATCATCCATATGTTTATCCAATGACCATTTAAATGCCCTTTAAAGTTGGCGAGTCTACTACTATTGCAGGCAGGGCATTCCACGCCCTTACTACTCTCTGAGTAAAAAACCTACCTCTGACATCTGTCCTATATCTATCACCCCTCAATTTAAAGCTATGTCCCCTCGTGCTAGCCATCACCATCCGAGAAAAAAGGCGCTCGCTGTCCACCCTATCTAATCCTATGATCATCTTGTATGTCTCTATTAAGTCACCTCTTAACCTTCTTCTCCCTAACGAAAACAGCCTCAAGTCCCTCAGCCTTTCCTCAGAAGACCTTCCCCCATACCAGGCAACATCCTGGTAAATCTCCTCTGCACCCTTTCCAATGCTTCCACATCCTTCCTATAATGCGGTGACCAGAACGGTACGCAATACTCCAATTGCGGCCGCACCAGAGTTTTGTACAGCTGCAACATGACCTCATGGCTCCGAAACTCAATCCCTCTACCAATAAAACCTAACACACCGTACGCCTTCTTAACAACGCTATCAACCTGGGTGGCAACTTTCAGTGATCTATGCACATGGACACTGAGATCTCTCTGCTCATCCACACATCCAATTAGTCAAGCAGAGTTCAGTGTTCAAGTACACTTGAGTAGTCTCCCTATTGTCCTAATATATTGTAAACTAATCTGCAGAAAATAGTTCCCCAACATGATATCTAAATAAGGATTTCTTATAGTCATATATTTTTAGCTGGCATTCTTGGCTATCCTCGTTCTTGGTTTTGGATTTATTTTTGGTTGTTTTTTTCTTTTTTATTGTGATTCTGCTATTTGTTATATTAATGAGTGTACATACATAAATGTTCCAGAATCTTAAGTATTTCCCAAACAGTTGTTAATATTAAGAATTAGACCATAATATATAGGAGCAAAAGTAGACCATTCAGCCCTCCAGTCTATGTCATCCTCAGTACACGCTTTCCCATCTATTTTTGTGTCATCTGCACACTTGGCAGTAGTACATTAACTTCTGTCATCCAAGTCATAGATATGTGTTATAAATAAATGTGGCACCAGCTCTTACCGATTGTCACTCCATTACTTACATATTGCTGTCTAAAAATGCTTCCTTTCTACCAAATTAATTAGCCAGTCCTATATCCATGTCTTATGTGCGGTCTTTCATTGAATGCCTTTGGAAACCCAAATATATTGCATCTGTTCTGTTCTCCATACTATGTACATGTTATTATTATTTATATTTAATATTCCTTTTTATTACATTTGCTTGACAGTTTGCTTGGTGGAAAGACTTTGGAAAAATATGACAGCATAAAATCTGCTTCAAATTGCAATTATTTCTTAATGTAATGTTGAAGTACACCCTTGTGTGAAGAAGTATCATTTTGTAATAACCCATTTGTATCACAATGCATATGTTTAGCAATTAAAACATGAACACACCTCTATTATATGCATCCGATAGACATTATCCGCTTATTTCATGTCATGTTAATATTCTGCCAGTTGTTAGTCATTTTTTTATTCTTTCACTTTCTGAACAGGCAAGGGAGGTCCAGGCTCAGGTGTTAAAACGAGTTCAATTAGAACAGGCTGATGCAGTTCCACACCAGAAACAACTTGCAGCAGAGATCTGTGCTGAAATAGCAAAGCATGCTGCAGACCAGCGAGACTATGAAAAGGCAATTAAGTTCTACAAAGAGGCACTTGTCTATTTTGAGAATGACCATAAGGTTAGTTTGCAGTTGCTAATTTATTATATGTGGTGACATCTAAAAATTCTAAACTATGGCTTCATTTCACAACGGAAGAATGTATATGTTTGCATAGATCTTTTGGGATGTGAGAATTATGTTGAATACTACATTGAGATATTTAGAAAGCTTAAAGTCATAGAGCTGTACAGCATGGAAACAGACCCTTTGGTCCAACTCGTCCAGGTCGACCAGATATCCCAAATAAATCTAGCCCCATTTGCCAGCTTTTGGCCCATATCCCTCTAAACCTTTCCTATTCTTTTAAATATTGTAATCATACAAGCCTCCACCACTTCCTCTGGCAGCTCATTCCACCCTCTGTGCTAAAAAGTTGCCTCTGAGGACCCATTTAAATATTTCCCCTCTCACCTTAAACCTTTGCCCTCAAGTTTCAGACTCCCCCACCCCAGGGAAAAGACCTTTACTATTCACCCTATCTATGCCCCTCGATTTTATAAACTTGTTTAAGGTCACCACTGAGTCTCTTATGATTCCGGTAAAAAAGCCCTGGCCTATTCAGTTTCTCCCTATAGCTCAAACTCTCCAACCTTGGCAACATCCTCGTAAATCTTTTCTGGACCCTTTTTCAAGTTTCACGACATCCTTACTATAACAGGGAGACCAGAATTGCACGCAAGATTTCAAAAGTGGCCTAACCAATGTCCTGAACAGCTGCAACATGACCTGCCAACTCCTATACTCAACGCACTGACCGATTAAAGGCAAGCATACCAAATGCCTTCTTCCCTATCCTGTCTACCTGTGGCTCCACTTTCAAGGAACTTTGAACCTGCACTCCAAGGTCTCTTTATTCAGCAACACTTCCTAGGACCTTACCATTAAGTGTATATCCTGCCCTGATTTGCCTTTCTAAAATGCAGCACCTCACATTTATCTAAATTTAAATTCCATCTGTCACTCCTCGGCTCATTGGCCCATCTGATAAAAATCCTATTGTACTCTGACGGAACCTTCTTCGCTGTCCACGACACCTCCAATTTTGGTGTCATCGGCAAACGTACTAACCATACCTCCTGTGTTCACACCCAAATCATTTGTATAAATGATGAAAAACAGTGGAACCCAGCACTGAACCTTGTGGCACACTGCTGGTCACAAGCCCCCACCTTTGAAAAGTAACTCTCTACCACCACCTTCCGTTTTCTACTGTCAAGCCAGTTCTGTATCCAAATGGCTAGTTTTCCCTGTGTTGCACGTGATCTAACCTTGCTAACCAGTCTACCATGAGGAATCTTGTCGAACGTCTTACTGAATTCCATGTAGAGCACGTCCACCACTCTGCCCTCTTCAATCCTCTTTGTTACTTCAAAAAATTTAATCAAGTCAGTGAGACACGATTTCCCATGCATAGAGCTCTGTTGGCTATCTCTAATCTGTCCTTCCCTTTCCAAGTACATTTAAATCCTGTCCCTTAGGATTCTCTCCAACAACTAGCCCATCACAATGTTAGGCTCACTGGTCCACAGTTCCTGGCTTTTCCTTACCACCTTTCTTAAATAGTGGCACCATGTTAGCCAGCCTCCGGTCTTCTGGCACTTTACCTATGGCTATCGATGATACAAATATCTCAGCAAGGGGCTCAGCAATCGCTTCCCTAGCTTCCCACAGAGTTCTAGGGTGCACCTGAGAAGGTCCCATGGATTTATCCACCTTCATGCATTTTAAGACATCCAGCACCACCACCTCCGTAATCTGGACATTTTTCAAGACATCGCTATTTATTTCCCAATGTTCTCTATCTTCCATATCCTCCTTCATAGTAAAGACAATGCAAAATACTCGTTTAGTATCTCCCCGTTCCCTGCGGTTCCACGCATGGGCACCCTTGCTGATCTTTAAAAGACCCTATTCTCTCCTTAGTTACTCTTTTATCCTTTATGTATCTGTAGAATCCCTTTGCATTCTCCTTAACCCTATTTGCCAAAGCTATCTCATGTTCCCTTTTTGCTGTCTTGATTTCCCTCTTAAGTATACTCCTAATGCCTTTATACTCTTCTAGGGATTCACTCGATCTCTGCTGTCTATACCTGACATATGCTTATTATTATTATTGACCAAAACCTCAATTTCTGTAGTCATCCAGCATTCCCTACACCTACCAACCTAGCCCTTCACCCTAACAGGAACACACTATTTCCGGAATAAAAACCGAAAGAGCAGTTCTGAGGAAGGGTCACCGGACCGGACACCTTAACTCTGATTTTTTCTTTACAGATGCCGCCAGACCTGCTGAGCTTTTCCAGCAATTTCAGTTTTTGGAAATTTTCGCAATTTCAGTCTCTGGAATCTCGTCACTTCATTTTTGAAGGCTGGCAATTTTCCAGCGTATCCCCTTACCTGAAAACATCCGCCTCCAATCAACTTTTAAAAATTTCTTGCCTAATACTGTCAAAATTGGCCTTGCTCCAATTTAGAACTTAAATTTTAAGAACTGGTCTATCCTTTTCCATCACTATTTTGAAACTAATAGAATTATGGTCACTGGCCCCAAAGTGCTCCCCTATTGACACCTCAGCTACCTGCCCTGCCATATTTCCCAAGAGTAGGTCAAGTTTTGCATGTTCTCTAGTAGGTACATCCACATACTGAATCAGAAAATTTTCTTGTACACACTTAACAAATTCCTCTCCATCCAAGCCTTTAACACTATGGCAGTCCCAGTCTGTGTTTGGAAAGTTTAAATCCCCTACCATAACCACCCTATTATCCTTACTGATAACTGAGATCTCATTACAAACTTGTTTCTCAATTTCCTGCTGACTATTAGGGGGTCTATAGTACAATCACAATAGGGTGATCATCCCTTTCTTATTTCTCAGTTCCATCCAAATAACTTCCCTGGACGTATTCCCAGGAATATCCTCCTTAAGTATAGCTGTAATGTTATCCCTAATCAAAAATGCCACCCACCCTCCTGTCTTGCCCCCCTTTCTAGCCTTCCTATCGCATCCATACCCAGAGTATTAAAGAACAAAGAAAATTACGGCACAGGAACAGGCCCTTCGGCCCTCCAAGCTTGCGCCGATCCAGATCTTTTATCTAAACCTGTCGCCTATTTTCCAAGGATCTGTATCCCTCTGCTCCCTGCCCATTCATGTATCTGTCTCGATACATCCTAAATGACGCTATCGTGCCCGCCTCTACCACCTCCGCTGGCAACGCGTTCCAGGCACCCACCACCCTCTGAGTAAAGAATTTTCCACACATATCTCCCTTAAACTTTTCCCCTCTCACCTTGAAATCATGACCCCTAGTAATTGAGTCCCCCACTCTGGGAAAAAGCTTCTTGCTATCCACCCTGTCTATACCTCATGATTTTGTAGACCTCAATCAGGTCCCCCCTCAACCTCCATCTTTCCAATGTAAATAATCCTAATCTACTCAACCTCTCTTCATAGCTAGCGCCTTCCATACCAGGCAACATCCTGGTTAAGCTGCCAATCCTGTCCATTCCTGAGCCATGTTTATTTGATTTGATTTATTTATTATCGTGTGGTACCGAAATACAATGAAAAGCTTAGTTTACAAGTGGTACAGACAGATCATCGTAAGCAAAGGATGTACAGATCAAAAAGACTTAGAGGCATTCGGGTACATTGCACAGTGTGTGTGCAAGATGAGATCAACGTTAGCAAGATCAACGTCGTTTAAAGTGCGAGAGTCCATTCATCAGTCTGTTAACGGCCGGGAAGAAGCTGTTCCTGAACCTACTCGTGCACGCTTCTGTATCTTTTGCCTAACGGAAGAGGTTGTAGGAGATCATTACTGGGGTGTGATGGGTCTTTAATGATGTTGGCAGCCTTTCCGCGGCAGCGAACTGTGTAAATGGAGTCCATGGATGGAAGGTTGGCTTCCGTGATGGTCTGGGCTGTGCACACAACCTTTTGTAGTTTCTTATGGTGCTGCACAGAGCAGTTGTCATACCAGCCTGTTACACATCTGGACAGTATGCTTTCAATGGTGCATCTGTAAAAGTTGGTGAGGGACCTTATGAACATGCCAAATTTCTGATATCTTGCTGTCAGCTGCAGAAATGTCTGTCTGTGCCTCTGACTAGAGAGACCTCTTGGAGCCTGACGTACCCGTCATTACATTAGAGGCAGTCTTGGTACCAGCAACCTGGCTGACATTGCTACATTCCCTGAGAGTCCATCAGCCCCTACATTTTCCGAACAGCATACTTGTTTGAGATGGGGATAGCCACAGGAGACTTCTGCACTACCTGCCTTCCTCTCCTACCTTTCCTGGAGGTAACACATCTACTTGACTGTATCTGCAGTTTTTCTCCCTTCCTGCAGTCCCTAGCTCCTGTAAATTCCTCATTGCCTGTAACTGCTGCTCCAACCAATCCATGTGATCCGATAGGATTCGCAACCAAACACACTTCCGGCTGACATAATCATCTGTAACAGGGAAACGCTCCCTAATCTCCCACATCCAAAAGGAAGAGCACATCACTCTACTAAAGACTATCTTTCCACCTTAACAATCTACAGATGCAGAAAAATGTCCAGTCTTACTGCTCTGAAAACATTGCTCCAGGCTAACTTAGTACCTATGTTTCATATTTTTAAAGTTTAGTCAAGAGACAGATCTCCATAAAAACATATAATAAAAAAAAGCCCACTCTACTCACTATTGTAGATTTACAAAAAAATCAGTAAGTTACACTTTGAAACTATACACTTAGCTGCTCCCATGCTGTGAGTTCCACCACATCGGTTTCTCCAAGGTCAGCTGTGAATTTCACTGTTTGTTTATTTTTCGTAGATGAACTCAGATGTCCAGAGATACTTGAAACTAAGTAGCAGTCAGCTGTGCAGATTCACTGCTCAGTCAGACAGCTATGCAGGTTTACTTCTCTGTTTGTTTCACTTCCCACATGGTTGCTACCTTTGTCTCTCTTCCCCCTTTTATAATCTACCATAAAAGTTGTTAATTATCCTGCCAGAAACCACTAAAATGAAACTGCCTGTGAAAGCATTCCATGTTTGATTACTCCATGCAATAGTACAAAGTGAAAAAATGATAGGTCTGGAAGCAAATTTCTTTCTGTTATTGCAAGCTTTGCATTTTACACCAGCCAATTAACAGCTCTCTAAAGCCATATTTCATCACAAAGTAGAGACTGAAGTTTTGCTCAAAAGCAATTAATGCTGCTCCCAGCAGTAAATTGTCACAGGTTCAGTATCAGGAATGTTGATGGGTGTGTAGGAACCATGGTGTCCTATAAATTCAGCTGAAAGTGTTGTAAGGCCCTAGAAATTTATTTAAAAAATGAAAGACACATGCTCACCTGCAAATAACTGCTTCCTGTTTTTGGCTCTGACTGAGAGGCTGTCTGTTAGGACAGTTGTATGGGTAATCCTTTCCTGCTCAACTCCTGAGAATGAAGTGAGATTTCAAACTAAAATTTCAAGGAATATATTGGAAATCTTGCAAGTGAAGAAGTTGGTCATTTGAGATGATGGTGCCTTTAAGCTCACAAGTGAATCTGAAAATCAAGCCACTTCATCTGAAATTAAACCTTTCTGTCTGATTTTTTTTTTAAAAACTGTCAAAAGATGGATAGCAACTGTCAATTTCCAAAAATTCATGTTTAGTTTGCATCCGAATTTCCAAATGACACACAATTTTACAACTATCATTGCAAAATGCAACAATCTTAATAGAAAATCATTTTTATTGTATGTACTGTAATATATGTAGATGTATGCATCTAACATTAATATATCACTGATATTTACTAGCCTGTCTAAACTATTTAGTAATGGTGATAATATCTTGAATTTCATTAAAAGACTTCCTGAATATTCATATGTATTCAAAAAACAATTTGTAACATCATTTCCTCGGATATCCAAATGAGTCAAAGTCTTACATGGTTGTGGAATAATATATAATTGTCTGCCAGGTATCTTGTACTGTTATTTTTATGTGGCATTCTTATTGTTTTCTGTGGCAGGTAATGCTAGAACTTGCGCAGCTTTACCTTGCTCAAGATGATATTGATGCCTGTCAGCATCAGTGTGTAGTTCTTCTGAAAAGTGACCAAGATAATGATGAAGCTACCATGGTTAGTAGAAATAGAGCATAATGTTAGAAATGACCGAGATCTTATTGTTATTGCTGATCACTTTTAACATTTTAGACAGTTGTCACACAACCGTATCATGAAGACACTAGTGTTCATTTAGTTTTTTTGTAATCCATTGATTACCTTTTATTGGAAGATGAATGAGGTGTATGCCACAGAATTGAGATGGGACCAGATCTTTGTGAGAATATTCAAAATGGGCATAAGACAAAACCTCAAACCCTTTAGCTTAATTCTCATCAAGAAATCATCTACAGTTTGCTGTCTAGTATATGCATAGGGGTTAATGAGTAAATTTATTTCACCATCAAGTGGTTTTGCATTGGTCAATTCATATCATATTAGCATTTGTTAGTGACAACTTCCCAGCACAAATGCACAAGGTACTGAATGAATAAATGAACCCTTTTCTTACTGATTATCAAATAAGTCAGATAGAGAAGTCATGTGCTATCAATCATTTGTTAATTGGTTACAATCTCAATCTTAACTCCTGTCATCTATCTTTATCTCTTTCTCTCCCTCTTGCCACCCCATTTCCTAGCTATACACATGCACAAAAGTTAGTAAAGAACTGTAATTAAGCAAGAATGGTGAACAGAAAACTGAAGATTGAGGATTTCAGCATCAAAACACTACCTAAGTTGTTCAATAAATCTTTATTTTGCAAAGGAACACCCTCAGTTCTTGAACAATTTCAGCAATACCTGTGTTAGAAGATTTCAGAAGTGTCGATCACCTCAGGTAGCCCTATTGGTAACCTTAATAGCCTCAAATCGATGTAGCTCTATCACTTAGATATACTAGCATTTCCATTTCTTCTTTAGCTCCTCATTTCTTTGTTACCATCCCAGATTCAGATAGGCAGAACATTTTTACGTCACCTTGAATAAGCTGTTTCCAGACCTGTCCTCTGAACAAAATCAGAAATTGATGTAAAAACTCAACCAGTTCTGGACACTGGTCACTGGACCCAAAAATTTGATTCTGCTTTCTCTCCATAGATGCTACCAGACCTGCTGAGTTTTTGCAGCAATTTCTGATTTTGTTTCTGATTTTCAGTATCCACAGTTTTTTTTTTTGTTTTGTGCTGTGAAGACTCCAGTAAGGGAAATGATTTGTTTGAATAAACATTTGTTTTTAGTTAGCATTAGCCCCTTCCTTTTTTAGCAATATGTCTGATGCCTGAATCCACTTTCAAGACACCTTTTAAGCAATGTGTGAGATGTTACACTTATTTTATGTGTGAATGTAGCTGATAGTGATTGTAGTGTACCATTTTTATAGATTATGGTTCAGGAGAAAAGCAGTTACAGGACTGTGCTATTCGTTACAAGCTTACTTCCGTTAAAGAGTTGGCACTGACTATCAAGGGGACTGCAGCTCTCGATTGCTCTACTTTCCTCTCCTCGAATGTTACATTGATCAATTTCATGCCAACAATTAAAGCAAAGAAGCAATTGCTGTTCCATCTAGCAGAACCAATATCTTCATTTCTTATTAGCTAGCAAATGGTTGAACATTAGGATTACCCAATTCTATAAAATACTGGATATTTGTCCATCCATCTGGGATCCTAGACCCAAAGCTATAGCTTCCTTGAACACCAATGTGTCAACTATGGTTACCAGCATCATTATCACCTTTCAGTCAGAAAGCTTAACTCCTGTCCAGTTACTTGAACACATTATCCAGATTAATACTTCAATATAGAAGCAAGGGAATGATGCTTCATTGGAAGTGTATCTTTCAGATAAGATGTTAAACCAAGGCTATTCCTGTCCCCTTCCTTGGATGGACATTGAAAATCACACATTGTTTAAAGAAGAACATGTTTTTTTTGGCCTCTCAGCCAATATTTATCTTTTGCCCAAAGCCAGAATAGTTAATTCGTCATTTACTTTCATTGCTTTTTGTGAAAGCTGGCTCTGTGCACAGTGGTTGCTTCATTTTTTATAACAGTGACCACAATTCAAAAGTATTCATTGTCTAGAAAGCATTTGGTAAATAATGAAATTATGAGAGTTACTATATACGAATTAAAATTCATTCATCGGGAGATACTGAAATTTGTTTCCTGAGCAGTGGCCAAAATATTTCATTGTATCGTTTGTCAGACTTACTCCAAAGCTGAGAGAGATGAGAAAATTAGCCTTGGAACATAGGCATAACCTTTTAAGCTCTGCTGTCTGCCCAGCACTAAAAAAGTGACTCTTAAGCTATATCAACAACACCCTCTGCATATCCTCAACTGTCATCAATCAATGTATTTATATTTTGAATGCCGGTAGGCTGTCCCTGAGAAAAACAGAATAGAAGAATGTGTGTAAAAATGTTGGTTCATGGACATCTTCACACATTGCTTACATTGGAATGTACCTTCAGGAATTCATCCTTTGGTGTGTGGGGAATGCTAACAAAGTCCTTTTTAAAGTCTATCTATAACTTTCAAAGCAATTGTGTAACTGAAGGAAGACCACTTAAATGGGTAATACATATGAAGCATATAGTGTGAATTTGAATTATGTATCAACCAATCTTGAGCAGGGCTAATTACTTACTTACTTGAAGGATGTTATCAGGTCATTTGGGTTTTTAATGGGTACTAGCTAACAGGCTATCGGATTCACTTAAATAAAAACCAAAAGAACTGCGGATGCTGTAAATCGGGAACAAAAACAAAGTTGCTGGAAAAGCTCAGCAGGTCTGGCAGCATCTGTGGAGGAGAAAACAGGGTTAATGTTTCGGGTCCGGTGACACTTCCTCAGAACTGATGGTGCCTGGGAAAACGTCAGTTTATATGCAGAAAATAGGGAGGTGGGTGGGGTAGGGAGTAAACGATAGGATAGAGCCCAAAGAGAGAGAAAAACACTTGGATAGACAAAGGAGTTGCTAACGATCAGTCTGGGAGGGTGAGTAGTTGTTAATGGGGACTGTTAGTGACTAACAACAGCGGGTGTGTAGTGGCAGGCTATGTGGTAACAAGGCCTGGTGTGTGGGGTGGGGGGCTGGGACATCGGAGAGTTTAGGCCCTAAAATTATTGAAGCCAATATTGAGCCTGGAAGGCTGCAGGGTCCCCAAGCGGAAAATGAGATGTTGTTCCTCCAGCTTGTGCTGGGCTTCACTGGAACACTGTAGCAAGCTGGAGACAGAGATGTTGGCCAGTGAGCAAGGTGGTGCATTGAAGTGGCAGGCAACAGGTAGTCCAGGGTCTTTTTTGCGAGCAGAACGTAGATGTTCTGCGAAGTGATCGCCAAGTCTACACTACGTTTCCCCAATGTAGAGGGGACCACATTGTGAGCAGCAAATGCTGTACACTAGATTCTTGGAAGTGCAGGTGAAGTGTTGCTTCACCTGGAAGGTATGTTTGGGCCCTTGGATACTGGGGAGGGAGGAGGTAAATGCACAGGTGTTGCACCTTCGCCGGTTACAGGGGAAGGTGCCATAGGGCTGTGGGGAGGTGTTGGGGGTGAAGGAAGTATGGACTAGGGTGTCCCGGAGGGAACAGTCCCTGCGGAAGGTGGACAAGGGAGGGGAGGGGAGTATGTTTCTGGAGGTGGCGGAAATGGCATCTGATGATCTTCTGGATGTGGATGCTGGTGGGATGGTAGGTGAGGAAAAGGGGAACCGTATCACTTGCGGGAGGGAAGAGAAGGGGTGAGGGCAGAAGTGCAGGAGATGGGTCGGACCCAATTGAGGGCCCTGTCGACAACGGAGCTGGGGAATCCTCGGTTGAGGAAGAATGTGGACATTTCGGAGGCTCCCTTGTCGAAGTTAGCCTCATCTGAACATATGCGACGGAAACGGAGGAACTGAGAGAATGGGATGGAGTCTTTACAGGAAGTTGGGTGTGAGGATGTATAGTCCAGGTAACTGTGGGAGTCAGTGGGTTTGTAATAGATATTAGTGGCCAGTCTATGCCCAGAAATTGAAACAGAAATGTCGAGGAAGGGAAGGGAGGAGTCAGAGATAGACCAGGTGAAAGTGAGGGCAAGGTAAAAATTGGAGGCGAAATTGATGAAGTTTTCCAATTCTCGACGAGAAAGGGAAGCAGCACCGATAATATAATCGATGTATCGAAGAAAGAGTTGTGGGTGGGGGCCGGAATAGGACTGGAACAAGGAATGTTCCATGTACCCCACAAAGAGACAGGCATAACTAGGGCCCATGCGGGTACCCATGGCAACCCCTCTTACCTGAAGAAAATGAGAGGAGTTGAAAGAGAAGTTGTTGAGGGTGAGGACAAGCTCAGCCAAGCGGAGGAGGGTGGTGGTGGGTGGGGATGCTTCAGGTCTTTGCTCCAGGAAGAAGCGGAGAGCCCTAAGACCCTCCAGGTGGGGAATGGATGTGTAAAGGGATTGCACATCCATGGTAAAGAGGAGGCGGCTGGAGCCGGTAAACTGGAAGCTTTGAAACCAACGTAAGGCGTCACATGAATCATGGATGTATGTGGGTAGGGTATGGACCAGCGGGGAGAAGACTGAGTCAGGGTAGGCCTCCATTCCAGGCAACATCCTGGTAAATCTCCTCTGCACCTTTTCTAACGCTTCCACATCTTTCCTGAAATGAGGTGACCAGAACTGGACGTAATACTCCAGATGTGGCCGAACGAGGCTTTTGTGTAGCTGGAGCATAACTTCACGGCTCTTGAACTCAATCCCTCTATTAATGAAAGCTGTAACCGGCGAAGGTGCAACACCTGCACATTTATCTCCTTCCTCCCCAGTATCCAAGGGCCCAAACATACCTTCCAGGTGAAGCAACACTTCACCTGCACTTCCAAGAATCTAGTGTACTGCATTCGCTGCTCACAATGTGGTCCCCTCTATATTGGGGAAACTAAGCGTAGACTTGGCGACCGCTTCGCAGAACATCTATGTTCTGCTCGCAAAAAAGACCCTGAACTACCTGTTGCCTGCCACTTCAATGCACCACCTTGCTCCCTGGCCAACATCTCTGTCTCCAGCTTGCTACAGTGTTCCAGTGAAGCCCAGCACAAGCTGGAGGAACAACATCTCATTTTCCGCTTGGGGACCCTGCAGCCCTCCGGACTCAATATTGAGTTCAATAATTTTAGGGCCTAAACTCTCCGATGTCCCAGCCCCCCACCTCACACACCAGGCCTTGTTACCACATAGCCTGCCACTACACACCCCCTGTTGTTAGTCACTAACAGTCCCCATTAACAACTACTCACCCTCCCAGCCTGATCGTTAGCAACTCCTTTGTCTGTCCAATTGTCTTTCTCTCTCTTTGGGCTCTATCCTATCGTTTACTCCCTACCCCACCCACCTCCCTATTTTCTGCATATAAACTGACGTTTTCCCAGGCACTATCAGTTCTGAGGAAGTGTCACTGGACCCGAAATGTTAACCCTGTTTTCTCCTCCACAGATGCTGCCAGACCTGCTGAGCTTTTCCAGCAACTTTGTTTTTGTATTGGATTCACTTTCTCAATTTGCTATGATGAAATTTGAACTCCATCTCAAGATTGCTAATCCAGTATCACAATTACTGCATTACTGTACCATTCATGATATTTTTGTGGTGTGTGTGCATACATGCAAGAGAGCAAGGTAGAAAAGGTACAAGGGTGTAATAATACTGAGTTTAGAGCTGTTCTTCAGCTGTATGTTCTTCAACTCCTTCAATGCTATGTCTCTCCCTGGTAATGTCCAATGTAATTCCTTAGATGGTTTGTAATTTCTGAGCTGTCATCAGTTAGAACATAATAAGCAAGAATAAGCTCAATCTAGTCATGCATATAGAGTAATAATCTTGCAAGGTGTGGAGAATGTTTGGCACCAAAGAATGCCAAACCTGGGATCTTTCTTATCCAGAATTGTCATTACCTGGGATCATAATATTAAGAAAGTACAGAGAACCTCCAACAAGGCAGTCTCTTGATGTTATCTTAAGGTAACAGCAGCATCCCTGGAAATCTCCTTGTGACATTCTAGGTTTATAACTGATAAGAGGTGACGAATCCCTTCATTCAAATAGCAGATAAAGTCTTGCAATGTTTTGTAGCCTCACTCATCTTCTGAAATAAATCTAAGCTTTGTGAGATTGTTGGCAAAAACCTTTTGTAATATTTTTTTAAGCAAATCTTATCCACTACTTGTCTGATACATTCCATGTAATGTTTGTTCAAATTAAAGTAATTCTGATGTTGTGTTGTAGATGATGGCAGATCTGATGTTCAGAAAGCAGGATTATGACCAAGCTGTGTTTCACTTCCAACAACTTTTGGAACGCAAACCAGGTAAATGTAGCTGTTTATTGCTTTACATTGGTAAACATTTTGTAAGCAGACTGTCTTGCAATTATATTAAAGAATATTAGAACCAGTGATCTAATGCTTGTCATTGTGTCTGTAATTCTGCAAAGAAAAGTGTGGAAAATATCATATTTCCTGACCAGAATTTTACCAAGAAGGTGGGGCTAATTGAAATTTGATTTGAGGAAGCTCTATATTCCATTTCATTACTGAACAGTGTATGTTCTAAATGACAGTTATAAATTTGGGTCTGCTGATGATGTTTAATCTGGTACAGTACAACCAGCTGTTCCCTTAAATAGTTTTGTCATAATCTTCTTGTGTATATATAATGCATTATTGGGAGGATCTGGGAGTATAACTAGAAGGCTTCCTGCTATTTATTGCCTAGATCCCTGTACCTTTCACAATGTACACATTTAATCTGTGACAAGGTAGACCAAGTTAACACAAGGCAAGACAACACTTGGTTTGATAAATGAGCTGCTTTATTCTACAGTTGACTATACACTTACTTATGATTAAATAATCCTTGGTACAACCTTTTTTTTAACGCTATTCACAGAATATCTTATCACAAAAATAAAGAGAACAGATATGCTGCACCATTTTATGGGGCCTTTTACTTCATGCAAAATCAAAGTTTGCCCTGCCTGTGGCAGAGATTGTCCGTTTGCAATTTAACTGACATGCTAGTACCTGTGTTCTGAATTTTACAAATTTTTCTCCCTGATCGAGTGGGATGGTTAATCAGCACCAGGGTTCTTTGTATTTTCCAGAATAGTATTGCCTAGCTAACAACTTGACCACTGTTTGGAATTTCTGAAACAAACAAATCAGCATCTTGCTTTTCAAATATTTCTTTGGGTCTAAATAAAAACCGAAAGAACTGCGGATGCTGTAAATCAGGAACTAAAACAGTTAGTGTTTCGAGTCTGGTGACCCTTCCTCAGAATTGTTCACCGGACCCGAAACGTTACCTCTGTTTTTTCCTTCACAGATGCTGCCAGACCTGCTGAGCTTTTCCAGCAACTTTGCTTTTGTTCCTCATTTCTTTGGGTCTGTTGCTTTGGGTCAGTATTTGCTCATAACTTCTTAAACCACAAATGACCAAGACATTTGAGTCTGATAGTGATCAAAAATCTCTAAATGTGACAGCTTGCCTTTATGCTTTTTATTTTTTTAGATAATTTTATGACATTAGCACGTTTGATCGATTTGTTGAGGAGAGCTGGAAAACTGGAAGAAGTTCCCAGATTCCTTGATATGGCTGAAAAGCATACTTCAAGACCAACTTCTGAGCCTGGCTTTAATTATTGCAAAGGATTGCACCTCTGGTAAGTTGTCCTACAATTATGATTAAAAACCTAAGTTCTAATGGCTCAGTGAACAAATGTAACACTTGACAGAACATGAGTAAGTTGAGGCAGATCACAAGTTTGATCTGGTGTTTGCTAATTTACCCATTACTGTCGAAGAAACAGTAAAGGTAATGAATTGATCTTTACTTTCCTTTTATTGAACTGGAGGGTGAAATGCATTAAGAGCCACAGAGTAGCTATAAACAAAGCCATTTGCTCACAAGGAGCACCAACAAGCAGATCATCAGGATTATTTAGATGCAGTACTAGTGGCTGAGTCAGATTGGTGTGCCCCACAGTATACTGCAAGGATCTTGTGCATTGAGGTGTTTTGCTGCTGTCTCCAGAACTTGACCCTCCAGAGGTGAGTGGATCTTGAAAGGAGTAAGATGCTAAATCGATCCAGCTAAGGGAGATGAAAGAAGAGAATACTACAGACCGATTGGTGATCAGGCTGCGCAGGAAGCGGAGTGGTACCACTTCAAGAATTCAATTCTGTTGGTGACCATGTCAGGAACTCTGATTCCTACCATAAGATATAGGAGTAGAATTAGGCCATTCGGCCCATTGAGTCTGCTTTGCATATCATGGCTGATGTTTCTCGACCCCATTCTTCGGCCTTATTCTCATAACTTTTAATCCACTTACTAATTAAGAACCTATCTATCTCTGTTTTAAAGACACTCAATGATTTGCCTTCCACATCTCTGTGCAACAATCAGTTCCACAGATCCACCACCCTCTGGCTGAAGAAATTCCTCTTCCTCTCAGTTTTGACTAGAGTCCCAGTCTGTCTTACCAGTGGAAACATCTTGTCCACTCTATTCAGGTCTCTCAGTATTTTGTAAGTTCCAATCAAATCCCCCTCCCCACCTCCAATCCCAAAATTCTAAATTTCATTGAGTACAGAGCCAGAGCCCTTAACTGTTCCTCATATGACAAGGCCTTCATCACTGGGATCATTCTTGTGAACCTCCAAGGCCAGCACATCCTTTCTTAGATACCAGACCCAAACTGCCCTCAATATTCCACATGCAGTCCAACCAGAGTCTTACACAGCCTCAGCAGTGTGTACCTGCTCTTGTATTCTAGCCTTCTCATTTTAGCCACATTTCATCTGAGTGTTCTCACTCAACAGGACTGTATACTCCATAACTTATTTTATCTTTGTGTGAGAGAACATTAATTGAAAGTACAACTTTGATTAGATCCACTCATACCACCAATGCATGGTACTCATTTGTCCAGTGGTCTCAATGGCTCAGTTCAAAAGCCATTGCTTTGCTTCATCACTTCTTCCCTCTTCTGAGTTTTGCCTTGAAGCAATGAAAGCTTGGACATCCAGGGCCAGGAATTAACATTTATCGTGTTAGTACAAGTTTTAAAAGTGCCCATTAACAAGCGAGTTAGCTCCAGTGATCCGTGAGTGCTCTAACCAATATTCGGCTTCTGTTTCCTGACGCTTCTGCATGGTGCTTGCCTTGTGACCACGAGTTAGGTGGAGACAAACTGCCGTATTGTGTCAGTTTGCATCTGAGATCCCCTTGGTGATCATCTGCTTCAATAAGCTGCTAGTTGGAGTAACTCCAGAGATTACTGCTCTGGCTTCAATGCAGGAACAGCACAGGCACTGGCCCCTGTTGCAGAGCTGGTCCCTTAATCAGCATGACCTAAAGGGTGGCATCCTCTCCCTCTTCAGTCACTGTCTTACTTTGTATTGTGGGTGGAGATTGAGTTGCAGTGCAACAAGCATCGAGTCCATGCATCTCTGAACCATTAGTTCTATTCTCTAGTCCATGCTATTGAGCATGACACAAATCCTATTCATGTCTGTGTGCTGTCCCTGCATCCACTTCCACTGCTACTGTTCTGGCTCCCCATGGTTTTGATCTCTCTCCCTCAGCAGAGGAGCTTATGGTTTTAAGACTATGCACAATGGTGGTGTCCATGAGCGGAATGGACTCCTCCATTCTTAGCCCATTAGCTCATTCTGCCTCAGAGAACTCAGATGTGGGCAGAATAATCACAGCCAAACCCACCGGCTCAGCAAGCATGTCAGCAACCTCATCCACAACCTGAGCTACAAATCTTCTCAAACTTTAAATCACTATCAGTTTTGTAGCAAAAATGTTCTTTCATGAAGAAGAAATATTGTTCTATTTTGTCTAGGTACACTGGAGAACCAAATGATGCACTCCGACACTTCAACAAGGCACGCAAGGACAGTGACTGGGGACAAAATGCAATTTATAACATGATAGAGATCTGCATGAATCCAGACAATGATACTATTGGAGGTGAAGTCTTTGAGAACCTGGATGGAGATATGCGGTAAGAGTAAATTACTATTTATTTATCTTGTATGTTTAGGAGTGAAAGACTTAGAAAGAGGATTAGGCCATTCGGCATTTTGAGCTTGTTTTACAATTCAATAACATCATGGCTGATAGGGTTATGGTTTGAACACCACTTTGCTGTATGCTTCCCCTTATCCCTGACTCCCTCATTTATCAAAAATCTATCTACTACATGTATATTCCATTTCCTTTGCAATAAATGCCAACATTTCATTTGACTTCCTAATTATTTACTGTATCTGCATACTAACTTTTTGAGATTCATGTGCCAAGACCTCTAGATCCCTCTGTAACACTATATTCTGCAATCCCTTTTTATTTAAATAGTATACTGATTTCTATTCTTCCTGCCAAAGAGCGCAAGTTTCCATTTTTCTGCATTATTCTCCATCTGTCATTGTTTTCCCCTTTCACATAACCTTTTTATGACCTTTTGCAGACTCTACCTCCTCTTGACAATTTAGCTAACTTGCTATCATCGACAAACTTAGCCAGTATGCAATTGGTTCCTTCAAGTAATTAACACATGGCACTCTATTAGTTACGGCTTTTCATCCTGAAAAATATCATTTTTATTTCACTCATGGGATGTGGGCATCGCTGGCTTATTAACCATCCCTGATTGCCTTTGAGAAGGTGGTAGTGAGTTGACTTCCTGAATAACTGCTGTCCGTGTGGTGTAGGTACACCCATAGTGCATCAGGGATTGAGTTCTGAATTTTGACCCACTGACAACAGTGATGTTGTTCCAAGTCAGAATGGTGTGTGGTTCAGAGGGAAACTGCAGGTACTGGTACTTCCATGCATCTGTCCTTGTCCTTCTGGGTGGTCATGTGTTTGGAAGGTGCTGTCTAAAGAGCCTTCATGAGTTATTGCAGGACATCTTTTACATTGATTGATTCATTGATTTATTGTCACCTGTACCGAAATACAGTGAAAAGCTTAGTTTACAAGAGGTACAGGCAGATCATCGTAAGCAAAGGATGTACAGATCAAAAAGACTTAGAGGCATACAGGTTACATTGCACAGGGTGTGTGCTAGATGAGATCAACGTTAGCAAGATCAGCGTTATTTGAGGCTAGAGAGTCTATTCATCAGTCTGATAACAGCCAGGAAGAAACTGTTCTTCAGGCTTCTGTATTTTCTGCCTGACTAAAGAGGTTGTAGGAGATCATTACTGGGGTGTAATGGGTCTTTGATGACGTTGGCAGCCTTTCCGCAGCAGCGAGCTGTGTAAATGAGTCCATGGATGGAAGGTTGGCTTCTGTGATGGTCTGAGCTGTGCACACAACCTTTTGTAATTTCTTATGGTGCTGGGCAAAGTAGTTGCCATACCAGGCCGTTATGCACTCGGACAGTATGCTTTCAATGGTGCATCTATAGAAGTTGGTGAGGGACCTTATGGGCATGCCAAATTTCCTGAGCTACCTGAGGAAGAAGAGGTATTGTTGTGCCTTCTTGACTGTCGCATCTACGTGGGAAGTCCAGGATAGGTTGTCAATTATTTTCACTCCAAGGAACCTGATGCTCTTCACCCTCTCAACCTCAGTTCCGTTGATGTAGATGGGGGCATGTTCTCCTCCTTTCTTTCTGAAGTCAATGATCAGTTCTTTAGTTTTGCCAACGTTGAGACAGATTGTTTTCATAGCACCATGTCACCAAGCCCTCTATCTCCCTTCTATAGTTTGACTCATCATTGTCAGCGAACGTGTAGATGGCGTTTGTTTGGAATTTGACAACACAGTCATAGTTGTAAAAGGAGTAAAGTAGGGGGCTGAGGATGCAGCCTTGAGGAGCTCCAACATTGAGTGTTATTATGGAGGAAGTGCAGTTACCTATCTTCACTGATTGTGGTCTGTGGGTCAGAAAGCTGAGGATCCAGTTGCAGAGGGTGGAGCCGAGACCAAGGTCACGGAGTTTTGAGATCAGTCTGGAGGGGATAAAGGTGTTGAAGGTGGGGCTGTAGTCAACAAGCAGGAGTCTGACGTAGGTGTCTTTGATGTCCATATGTTCCAGGGATGAGTGCAGGGCTAGGAATATGGCATCCTCTATGGACCTGTTACATCAGTAGGCAAATTGTAGGGGATCAAGATGGGCTGGGAGACTGGAGTTGATGTGGGCCACAACCAGCGTTCGAAACACTTTATGACTGTTGAGGTCAAAGTCACTGGGAAATAGTCATTAAGGCACTTTGCGTGTGCATATATGGCACAAATACTGCCATTGTGCGCCAGTGTTAGATGCCATGCCAATCAGGTGGGTTGCTTTGTCCTGAATGGTGTTAAGCTTCGAATGTTGTTAGAGCTGCACCCATTCATTATTTTTATATTTTAGTTTAAATTTAATTCAATATAAGACTCAATTATTGCATCAAACTGTTGATTTTATCATGCATGACCCTGTTTGAAGACTGAAGTCTCTAACAGAGTGAAACTAACTTTCCCAGTTTTGATTGGGCTTATGAGGGAGAAAAAATATAGTTTTGCTTATTTTTCCCAATGACCTGTGTAATTTTTTTCTGTAGAATTTAGAGTGCCAAGTTAATTTGTCTATTGGTAGATTACTAGCTGGTCATAGTAATTTATCAAGATTCACAATGTTTGGATGCTTTGTATATGCAATTGTAATTGCATATAAACTATCTTATACTTGTATGGGAGTACAATACAGTTTCACAGCAGCAAGGACTAGTACTTGAAAAACACTGATCAAAATAAGGTAAGAAGTTTTGGATGTTTTACTTTACTTAGTTTTGTTGCCAATAGAAACTCAACTGAAAAGCAGGAGTCAGAACAGTTGGCTGTGATGACAGCAGAAAAACTACTGAAGGAACTCAAACCTCAGACTATTCAAGGCCATGTCCAGTTGCGCATAATGGAAAGCTGCTGCCTCATGGCAACAAAGCATAAAGCAAATGTGGAACGAGCTCTCAATGTCTTCACTGAAATAGCAACGGCTGAGGTTAGTCTTGTACAAATCACAAGATATGAGAGTGGAGAAGTATTTTGGTAAACTCAATTCATGTGTTTCTGATATGATTTTAGAGTTTTTCTTTCCATTACTGTATTAGAAGCTTATTTTGTGCATTGTTCACATTTTGTGTATAGACTTATCAATCTTAAACTGACTTTACACAATTCTTATAAAAGATCATTGTCCTGAGAGCTTGAGGAGAATATTAAATGGATGAGTTTGTGCCTGATATTTTGTGGGTTTGGCTGGCTTTAGGTGTCAAAACAGGAAAAGTTAGCTTCCTGACTGAAATATACCCACTTTCAACTTTAACTGAAGTTGTAGAGACTAGGACTGAGTTGCATGTGTTTGTTGGGTAAGAAAGTCTAAACTTTTACTTTGTACAACTAAAGTACTTTGTAAAGTATTTTGTACTTTAGACGAAGTTAGTTTGTAATTGGACTTAAACTGAAATTGGAATCAAAAAATTCTGTTTGATTTCTGTAGCTGGCAGCCTTAAGCTGAGTTTTCTTTCTCAAGCGTTCCAGGGCAGAAGCAGCTTAATAAAGAACCAGCTGAAACTGGATCCTCATTAAGTGACTCAGATTTCCCGCTTGTGTGGGAGCATAAATAAGTAGGCAACTTGGTGCGACATAACATTTGAGACTGCAACCTGCAATAAAGTGCGAGAGTTGAACACATCAAGCAGTTAAGTGGAGGAAGGAATGAAGTGTTTGTTTGCTTTTGCCTAAATAAAATAGCTGTGGGTAGAATTGGTGAATACTTTTGGTCTATAAGTAAAAGTAAGGTCTTTATTTTGTGTTTCAGCCTCCAGTCATTTTTTCACTTTTTCTTAAAAGATGGCTCAGTAGATACAAAATTGATGCTGGTGTGTTTTTAAAACAAAATGTGTAAACAACAGTGATACACGAGTCATGAACAAATTAATTAAAATAGGATAGTGACGGCAGGATGGGTGATTTGGAAGTTGCTGGACATCAAGTTGATTGGGAGCAAACACATCTATAGTTAATACGTTCAACTCGAGAAATCTTGGAACTGAGTTGAGCTGGAGTCCAAACTGCAGACATTGCACCACATCAGGGAGGGGAAAGTTACCTGACACTTTGCTCCAGGAAGTGATCACATCCCTCAGATTAGGTGTTTCAAATTTGGCCTGTGGTCAGGGACAAAGGAATGTGACTGCAGGTGAAGTAGATGTAGGGGTCTAATGTGTAGCTTTCAAGAAGCTTCAATCTCTGCAATTGTCCAACAGTTACAAGGCTCCTGTAAATTGTTTGGACGATAGCAGGGGTTACAAGCAGGGTGAGTTAATTAACCATGGCACCACGGCACAGAGTTCCATTCAAGTTGTGGTAGGATACAGTATAATTAAGGGATTAGTTGCTGTTCTCTGCACCAATTAGCATGAGTTCCGAAGGCTGTGTTGCCTGCCTGGTGCCAGAGTTTAGAACAGTTCCTTGGGGCTGGAGAGGTACTTGGACTGGGACAGAAGGGATCCAATATTATCATTATCATTCATGTTTGAAAATACCAAGAACTGCCGATGCTGGGGAAGGGAAGGGAGCTGGGAAATAAATGGAGGTGGGATAGGGTTTGCTGGCGCATGGCTGTGAGCGTGAAGCTGAGCGTGGAACCCAGTCCCCTCCCTCTATTTATTTCCCAGGTCCCTTCTCCCTCCCCAGTTCTGAAGAAGGGTCCTGACCCGAAATGTTGACTTTCCTACTCCTTTGCTGCCTGACCTGCTATGTTCCTCCAGCTCCATACTGTGTTGATTTGTCATTCATGTTGGTCCTACTAAAATTGTTAGGACTAGAAAAGATGTTCTGCTTAAAGATTTTGAATAGCTAGGAGTTAAATTAAGAGAGCAGAACCTCCAAAGTGTTAACTCTGGATTACTGCCTAAGCCATGGGCAAATTGGCATAAGGTGGTAAATACAGTCAAAAAGATAGATGCATGGCTCAAAGATTAGTGCTAAAGGAATAAGTTCAGTTCATGTGGCACTGGCACCACTACTGATGTAGAAGGGAGCTACTGTTGTAAAATGGGCTTCACTTGAGCCACGCTGGGACCAGAGTTCTGGTAAATTGAATAAAAAGGACTATGGAGAAGGCTTTAAAATAAAGTGTGAGAGGATTCTGAAGAAGAAATACAAAGGCTTACAAAGCAAAAGAACGTAACAGCATTGCAGGACAGCTATTTTGTTAATGTGTGACAGGAAGGAACAGAGTGTACAGATATTAAGAATGACAACAAATAAGAATGAAGGGGAAAATAAAGCAAAATTGATGGCTCCAAGAACTGAGGGCAGAGTTGGCTGGCATAGACTGAGAAAGGGTGTTATGGACCAGACCAAACCCCCTCAAAATATTCAAAAGATAGTCTGGACCCTAACAGTTTTCTTATTTTAAAAGGTAAAATGTTTTGTTCCGAGTGCAATTTGATAGGTCAGACTACCAGATTTAAAATAAAACACACTTTATTTATCCACTATAGTTAAAATACAACAAAAGAAAGAAGGAATTAGAATAACTTAACTCTATGGGAAAACTTAACTGAATAACAGATACAGTAACTATTACTAATTAACTGTTCCAATAGAGTAATGTCGCATAAACACACCCTTGAAAAAAGGCAAATTCAGAACACAGATTGTCTCACATGCAACTCCCATAGCAGGGACAGGACCCCCAGCTTTTGGCCGTCATCGAGAGAGGGAAAAAATAGCTTCCATTTCTTCAAGAACCCAACAACAACTGCTAAAAGCTAAACTAAAGAGCCTGGTTCTGTGGGAATTTGACCACACCCATTCAGGCTGCTTCTATTGTTTCAACTTTTAAAAAAAAAACACCCAAGGCTTCACAAGTTGTTTATCTTCTCATTCACTGCTCAGTACTTCTGCCTTAAAACGTGTCTTCAAAAAAAGACCAGGAACAAACACCTCTTAAGGCCACAGCATCCTCACAAGTGGTTTAGCAGAAAAGATGCATGATGAACAATGGCAGACTGTTAAGAAAATAGTTCATGACTCCAACAAAGATGTGTCCTAGTGAGGAATGAGGATCCTAGGAAGGGAATAAACCAATCTTGGTTAACCAAGGAATTTAAGGATGGTATCAAATTGAAAGAAAAAGAACATGCAATGTTGTAAACATTTGTAGTAACCCAGAGGATTGGGTAAGTTTTAAAAACCAACAAAAGGTGAGCAAGAAAAAGTAGAGGGAGAAAACAAGCTCTGAGGGTAAACGAGATGAAATGAAGAAAAACAGAAATGTCTTCAATCTTCCTCCTAACACCACAAATCAGTCTTGTGGCTCTTCTCTGCACCACTTTCAGTGTTTCAATGTCTATCTCCAACTGAACAAAATCTTTACAGTGAATGTGACTTGACCAGTCTGTTGTACAATACTGATACTATATTGTTCTAGCTGTAAAGTTCATTGTTCTCTTGGCATTTATTGATTTTTGTTCTGTATTGATTTGATATTCTGTGTATCGAGTTGGCAATATATTTGCTGCTTTATTCTTATTTAATTCATACAGATTCATAACTTAAGTGAGTCACCCATTTCCCTTCATATGTCCAGTGTCGCAAAGTCTTCCTGGAGCCCACTGACTCTAATTTCCACCCTGGACACTGAGAAGCTGCCTTCAGGCATCTACAGATGCTATGGGAGTGCTGTAACTTGACGGAAAAATTCTAGTCTACCTCTGATCATTGGACTGACTTCACCTCTTTAATTACTTTAATCAACCACCTGCCATTTGTGGGCAGAAAACTATTCTGCCTTAGCCCTTTTCTGATCCATTTCGGGGTGAAGATCCTACCCTTTACTTCATTCACCTTGTAATGTTAAGGTCCAGTTCCACTGTTTCTTCTAATCCTTCATCTGAATATCAGGCCAATGCATATTGAGCTTCAAAATCCAAGTCATTGATGCAATTGTTTGATTGTATTTATCTAAAAACCATGCCCTGATAAATCATACCACTGCTTACTTCTGTCCTGACAGAATTCTAATAACGAGCATAAGTATAAAATCACATCCATCATAAATGAGAGTAATGAGAGCAGGCAGGAGATGCCTTACAGTAGAATTAAGGAAGAGAAAAGGATTTAATGCAACAGTGGGAGTTATTTCCAGGCTCCTGTTAGCAACTGTGAAATGGTAGAATGTATAATTATGAGGGTGGATATGGTTTCAACTTTTGCAAATGGCAAATCTTAACTTTAAAACGAAGATTAATGCATTTTTTGTTAGCCAAAGCTCCTAAAACATTTGCGGAAATAGACAGGTATATGGAATTAGGTTTCCAGACCAGCCCTTGTCTTGAATATGGAATAGGCTCAGAAATTAAATGGTTTGTTCCTGTTCCTGTGTTCCTGCCCATTTGTTATGTGTTTCAGAAAACTACTTACAGATTTTCATGATTAACCTTTTATTCCTTAAAAGTTTAAGCAAAAATAATACCGTATGTGTTGAACTTCACAAAATGATTTTTGGAAGACCATCTCGTAGATTTATCTGCTCTGTCATCTTCTCATGATGTCAAGAACTTTGGTTTTGCAGGATCTTCCTTCTCTGAATCTGCGTATGCTATTTATTTGATACACTTTCTACCCTAAGTCTTTAGAATCTTCTGAAAAATACTATCAGCTGTCCTGGATAGCAAATTCTGAAACACATGTTGAGCAAATGAAAACATTGCAAAATTAATTCATTTGTAGATTCATCTTTTGAAAGAGAAATTATGTTAAATTTATTAATTAGAACTTTTTGAGGATGTAATAAACAAGGTAGATAAGGAAGGCTGGAGATATGATGTACTCAGATTTCCAAAAGGCATTTGATAAAGTGTCACATTAAAGCATCTGTATAAGATGAGAGTACTTGGGGTTGACATATTCCATAGATAAAGAATCAATCAATAAGAAGCAGAAAGTAGGCTTAGATGAGTCTTCTTCCTGTTGTGAAGGTGAGGTGAACAAGATCAGAAATCACACGACACCAGGTTGTAGTCCAATAGGCTTATTTGAATACACAAGGAGGAGTGAGGCTCCGAAAGCTTGTGTTTTCACATAAACCTGTTGGACTGTAACTTGGTGTTGTGTGATTTCTGACCTTCTTCCTGTTGACAAACTGTAAATAGAATGTGCCACAGGGATCAGTGCTAATCCTCAAGAATTTGCAATCTGTATCAATGACTTGGATATAGAAACCAAATTAAAGCTGACTATATCTCTTAATGACGTGGAGATAGGTTGGTAAGTAAGTTGGCAAGAGAAAATAGTCTGCAAAGGGGTAATGTTAGAGTAAGTGAGTGAGCAAAAATTTAGTAGATGGAATGTAGGAAAATGTGAACAGAAGATTAGAAAAGCAGTAAATTATTTAACTGGAGATAGATTACAGAACTCGGTGATACAAATGGATCTTGGTGTCTTGGTTTATGAATCAAAAGAAGTTATTATGCTGCTCCAACAAGGGATTCACAAGGCAAATGAAATATAAGCATTTCTTGCAAAGGAGATAAAATCTATAAGGTAGAGAAATTTGTTGCAGCTGCTCAGGGTCTCCGTGAGACCATACCTGGAGTACTGTGTACAGTTTTTGGTTGATTTATTAGAATGAAAAGTTATAATTCATTAAAAGCAATCAGAGATGGTTCAATCAGTAGAGTGGAATAAAATCTTTATTTTTTGAAGAAAGCTGAAGAGGTTATCGTCATTTAGGGATTTAGCAGAATGAGAGGTGACCTTATTGAAATATGTAAGATGCTGAAAGATTTGAAAGGGTCGATTCTCAGAGGATAATTCCTCTTCTGAAGAAGATGAAACTAGGGTTTTTTTTTCCTTTTTGAGGATTTTTAGTCTGTGGAATTCTCTTTTCCCAGAAACCATTGGAGGCTGTGATGTTGAATTTATTCAAGACAAAGTTTTTTTGATAGACAAGGAAGTCAAAGTTTCCAGGGGACATGCAGGAAAATGGAGTTGAGACCTTGACTACGATCAGCTGAATGGCCTACACTTGCTCCAGTTAATTAAGCTAAGCTCTGTTCAATTCTATGCAAATGAGCAAAAAAAGTGCATTTGTAGGAGAATGACAATGTACTAAATTAATTAATAATTTTGTATAACTATTCTTGATATAATATAGAAGGACCACATTCCTGCGCTCTTTGGAATGGCCACAGCATATATGATTTTAAAGCAGACACCTCGTGCAAGGAATCAGCTAAAACGTATTGCAAAATTAAACTGGAATGCCACTGATGCTGAGGAATTTGAAAAGAGTTGGTTGCTTCTAGCTGATGTTTACATTCAGTCTGGAAAATTTGATATGGCAGTTGAACTTCTTAAACGCTGTCTACGGCACAATAAGGTAAAAGCAATTAGATTCTTATTTTGTCAGATTGTAAAAAAATAAAAAAACAGAATTAGACATGCATTACACTTAATATTCATGATCCTTTTTTTAGTATAAACAATGTAGTAAAGTGTAGTTTGTACCAGTTGAGCATAATTGGAGACCTCACAAGAAACACTGGAGGAAATTTCCCTTTACTGAATGAATACCAATCTAGCACCTGTTATAAAACCTGCCTAAATCAGTGAAACCACTAGAAATTGGACAGGTTCCACAAGAGGGCAAACCATCCACTCTATCACCCATATGGTGAGAATGCAAATTTACCCCATTGTCTCTTGAGGACTACAGTCTTATCCATTGAGTTTAAGCCTATTTCTGTTGTTTCATAAAAACATAAGTAACACAAGAGCTGGAGAGCATTTAGCTCATCAAACTAGCCCTTTGGATCTCTTAAAGTCCCCATTGTAACTTCCAGTAGTTGGCTGAACAGCCCAATATTTTGCTTCTACCACCTGGTAGGCTATTAAATTCAGACAGTTAGCTATTCCTAATATATTTGAGTGTGTGTATATGTTAAATTTCAGTTTGTCATTTTCAATTCTCCTAACAACACTCATAGTTATAGAATTAATTGAACGTAAACTTGTGAAGTCTGCATTTGCGGTTAAAGATAAAAATCTGGAAGTTGCGTCATCTGGAAGTTGCACTCTGTTACTTAGTTCTTCCACATGCTGCATTATAACAGGACTCTAAAATTAAAATCAATGCAAGGGTGTTTACCTATCAAATATAAACAAATTGTTACTGGCTAATGTTATATCTTGTCTTTTTAATCAATCTCTCCCTCAATCTCAACTTTCTTTTGAAATAAATCCACAGAGCCCGTATCTCATGACCAAATCACATTTTATTTACACGTGGAGAGTCCTTTATTGATCCACCTCTGTCAGAGCTAGCTCTCAAAGTAAGCAGGATGTCAGACACTGCTGTTTATATCTGTCAACCAGGGCTCCCTGGTTGGACCAGATCAACAGCCCCAGTTGTGGAGCTAATATTCTATGAGGTCCACCTGGCTGACTTCATTACAATCACTAAACTTGGCCAATCCTTTTGTTCTGTGTACATAATTCAACTCTAATTTCTGGCTCATACTTCCAATTTAGGTTTTCCATACTTCAGTGAAGATTTTTCGGTTTTATTGATTGAAGAATCTTGCTGTTTTTCCAGCTTGCACCTGCCACAGATGTCTGGTAAAGGCCATTAAGCTGGATGAGACATCAGATGACAGCAATTTTCTGCTCATAAACCACAAAATAAGACTGTAAGATATCGAAGCAGAATTAGGCAATTCAGCCCATTGAGTTTGCTCCACCATTCAATCATGGCTGATATATTTCTGAACCCGATTCTCCTGCCCTCTCCTAATAATGTTTGATCTCCGTACTAGTCAAGAACCTATCTTTTCTGTCTTAAATACACTCGTTGACTTGGCTTTCACAGCCTTTTGCAGCAATAATTCCATAGATTCATCACACTCTGGCTGAAGAAATTCCTCTTTGTGGGCAGCTGTCAACATAGTAAATAGCAAACGGTATTTCTTAACCCCTAACTGAAACATCTGATGTTTCTTTTAAACAAATTTGTTTGCAGACTTGCATACTGTTATTTTGGCCATTTATTCTAGTATTTCCCAGTATACAATAAGGCCTTCTGGTTCATTGGACATTTATATTATTTACATGGTCCCACTTGTCTTACTAAATCCATTGCATTTCCTGTGCAAATGACAAGTCACCACCCTTTTAAAAGTAGTGCTTTCTGTTATGATGTGCCTCAGCCAAAACCTCAGTCAGAACCGATAAGTGAGTTATTTATGTCTTTGTGAGATCTTGCTGTGTGCACATTGGTTGCAACATGTAACCACGTCACATTTTTTCCCCTCATTTTATTCCTCCCTCCTATCACTTCTTGCCATTGAAAATATTTTGTGTCTAAGGCCAGAACCCACTGTTTTTGATGCTAGCCATCAGGACCAGGCGATTTAAGCATCATGTTCCTCCAAACCAAATCCTTTTCTACAGCTGTTTCTGATCATTTTTCCACTTCCTGTTATATACATGGATCTCTCCTCTCCTATCATTTGTAAATAGAGGTAAATATGTCTTTTTCAATATCTTCGTTCATACCTCAGTAGTGTTATCATGTCTCAAATCAGGCAACTGAAGGCATAGAATTGAAGCAGTGCAAATCAGAAATGCATAAAAGCCAGAATTTGAAAAGCATAGAGATGTCAAAAGGTTATAGTTTTGAAGTAGGTTACAAAGATGGGGAACAGGGCAAGTTATTGGAGAGATGTGAAAACAAGGATAAAAATTTTAAAATAAAAAGAATAGATGCTGGAGAAACATAGCATATCTGGTAGCCTCTATATGAAAACAATGAAACAGTTAACATTTTGAGTCCAATGTGAATTTTTTTTCAGAACCTGTTCTCAATGAAGAGATCACATGCAGGTAAAAAGCCAGAGGGAAGGGTCTAGATAGTGTAAGAATATTGGAGACACCTGAAAGAATCTGTGGAATAGGGAGAGGATTCCTATCCAAAGAATTGGGCATGGAGGCCAGGGCAACAAAAGAAAAGTTTGACACTATGTTGTGCCTGAAATTGATTAAGATAAGAGCGTAAAGAGATGGAACAAAGCCCTTTGCTGAACACAGATTGTTCAGCATCAGATGGGAGAGTACCAGAGGGTAAAGTGAATATACGGCAAGAAGTGAAATTAGAAGAAGGGATGGATTGAGAGGGAAAAGGAGAGGAGGAATAATGCAGAAGAGCATCAGTAATTGAATTTTGGAGCTGTGTTTGTTAACACCTGAAAGGAAGAGAAAAAGTTTCTTGTTAAAGCATCAAAAGAGATGAAGAATCAGTTGGAACTAGGAACTGGCGAGCTTTAAGCTAGTGGAAACCACTGAAGAGAGAAATTAAGTGTGTCAATGTGGTGGGGCATGCCACTCGGGATGCAGTGGGAACAGCTGTCAGAACAGTGTTGTACGTCACAGAGGTACCTGAGATCTTGGGTGGATTTTAAACATGAAGGATGAAATTTTAGTTAGAATTTGTGCGTAGTAAGCTGGAGCCAGAGACAGACACAGAGGAAGTAGAACTGGCTGTGAAAACGAGTTTTTTGGCAAAGTTTTATCAAACACCAGGCAGGAGTTTGTAAGGAATGAGGGTGAACAAGCCAAAGGAATAAAACAAACTTGTTGGAGAGAAGACCAGAACTTCTTCAAGTTGGGCATACCTGGAGGAAGAAGAGGCAGGGAATTAAAGCAAAATACTGTAGATGCTGGAAATCTGAAATAAAAAGGAAAAATCCTGAAGAATCTCAGGACGTCTGGCAGCATCTGAAGAGAGAAATAGAGTTAATGTTTCAAGTCTAATATGACTCTTCAGAACTGAGTACGCTTCTTCAGAATGAGAATTTTGAAATCTACGTGTTAGGACTAGGAGCCTGTGCAGAACAGCAAACTCCGGAGTAACTTTTTCTAGTGTAACCCACTTATCTTGCACTCTTAATTCTACTTTTTTAAAAATTGAGTTACTGTTGTTTTCATTTTTTTTCAATTATATGATATGTTTATTTAAGTTCTTTTGATTTTTTTTTTGTTTTCTTATACTCAAAACTTACAGAACTAGGAAGGACTCTGGGCTACGTTCAAAAATATGTTCCTTATTTTAACCACATGCATTAAATTTGTTGCACTGTTTACTTACAACATATTATTGTGGAACACACTATCACCGAGGTAGATGAGATGAAAGGCATTGAAGCTGGTTAAGAACATGAGGCGGAAAGAAGTTGAAGGAAATGTTGATGCGGTTAGATCAAGTGTAATGGAAGGAGACTTTGTGGACCTGTTTGGCATGGACCTTTTGTGACAAATGACCTGTTTATGTGCTCTAAATATTATGTATTTTCCTGTGTCAATTAAAACTCCATGGGAAAGATGACTTTGAAGAGAATGTAGGGAAATGAGAAACAATACAAAATGGCAGTGGATTCAGGAAGTATTGACTGGGAGGTGACAAGATTTTTAGAAAGAAAGGAAGGTAGCAACAGGAGTAGCTGTACCAGTGATCCCAATCTTATAGTAGAAGCAGATATTTTAGCCGAGGATGGAGAGTACAGAGTAAAGAGGGAGATGGAGTAATCATCTGGCAAAAGGTATCCATAACTTATTCTTGCCCTCAAAAATAATTGTGTTATAATGAAGGTTTGGCCGAATGTACTATCTTATGGTGTCATCAGCAAATTTAAGAGGGCCAGGATTCAGTGTATCCAGTTCAAATCACTGGGATTCGAGGAATACCCTTTGGTACATGACTTCTAGCCTCCCCAAACTGTATATTCTGTGTAAGAAACAGAAGGATCAAATCTCGACGGGTTGAGGGTTGCATACCTTTGAATATCAGAAGAACCTTATTGTTGGGAGGGGGGTTGGAAATCAGGATAAGATGCAACTTTTTTCTGAAGTGGAGCTTCACGATTTGAACACAGGTGGAGGTTTGAATGATTGTTAACTTTCATGGTAAACTTTATCAAAAAGAGAATTTATTGACTGACTATAAGGCATGGTAAGATTTTGCCAAATTTAGAAAGACTGAAGATAATAACGTGAGCTTAATGGAATTCCAATAGATTGTATGCATGCCTGAAGAAATTTAATTTGGGAATTCCCTGATCTGTGCTGGCTTTAAGTTATTGGGTTGTGCCAGTATATCAAGTATGGACATATTTCTGTTCTTGACAGGAATTAACTTTGCAGGTATATATACACTAATGAAACAAATGTCAAAGTGCTAACAACATTCCTAAGAAGGCATTCCTTTCTTGTGGCATTTGTAGAGTAAAGGGGGTAACTGTGATACAACAGAAAATCGATGGCACCATGTTAATAAATTGGTGAGATCATCTAGATGCAGGGTGCTGGCAACAAAGTATGAAAGGAGAAATGTAACTAATAGAAGGAAGGACAGACATGTATTGATGTTTTTCAGAAGCAAAGAATAGTTGGGATTTACAACAAGCGAATAACCCCAGTAATGCACAGGATGTAGCCAATTGATGTTTCAGGTGTGATTCAAATACTGTTATGCCATCAGTTGTCCCAAATGGTATAATAAACATTCAGGTAAAATATGGAGATTTGGATCAAGGAGAAGGCATTGTATTGGGCACAAGAAGTGATGAATATGTTGGTAAAAATCAAAAGAACTGCGGATGCTGTAAATCAGGAATAAAAACAGAAGTTGCTGGAAATGCTGAGCAGGTCTGGCAGCATCTGTGAAGCAAAAATCAGTGTTAACATTTTGGGTCCAATGAACCTTCCTCAGAACTGAATATGTTGGTGGTGGAGTCTTTCAGTTGTGCCATATCAGACAATGAACAAATTTTTACAGTGTTTGGACTGGCCTAAATCCTAACTAGACACTTAAGTAACAACGATTAGGACACAGTTAAGGATTTTGAGAGTTTCATCAGATATGAAGATGATGACACACTAAAATCCTTTAAAAAGTAGTCATTCATTACAAATAGCAGAAATCAATCGTTTTATGAGCGCTAGTGTAAGGTCCAGTGAAATACCATTATAATTAAGTAGACCATCAATGAAGAAAGCAGTGATGAAACCAGATATGGAAAACAACAAAACTACTCAATTGAGAAAATCTTTGAATTTGCAGTTTTTACAATCAGGAGTTTATCGTGTTCCATTAGTGGAACATAACCTCTCCACTAGACAAATCGAAAAAGTGTAATTGACATTGCAGGTAAAAATTTTGGAGACCAAAGAGTCAGTTTGTTAAAATTACGTTGACAATTTGCTCATCTATCCTCTAAAATGTTGAAAATTTTACTAAAGAATGCAAGAATATGGAATGGAGAGTATGAGAAGCTCATAGAAGAGATATGTGATAGATATGAGATTTGTAAGAAATACAAAAGGACGCCATCATAGCCAATAGTAAATCTATGCCTAGCAAGAGCTTTCAACAAGCAAGTGACTATTGATTTGAGATATAAGGGATAAAGGGGAAAAGAAAAGTTCATTTTACGTTTGTACATTTGGCAACCAGGTTTGTCAGTCAACAGCAATGCATAGTTAACCCCAGCAAAATTTATCTCTGATAAGGATTGTGAAATTTGTGAAGAGTCAATTTAGAGATATGTTGTCAAGTATGAAAAATGGGAAAGGAACCTTGCGGTAATAGATGAAATGGTTCATAATATTTTGGCAGATCAGCCAAACTGTTTATTATCATGTGCGCTAGTGTTGATCGCCCATGCTAGGAATTCATTGCAGATGGTTCGAGGATATGGTCCACATCAGTTAGTATTTGGTAGGAACCCTAAAGTTGTATTAAGTAGTAAGTGATCAGCACCCTCCTTGGGAAGGGGCTGCAATGTAGGCAGAGAGGATTACAATTAAGACAAAGTCTTAAAGAATTTAGTGAGCCTCAAGTTTCAGAAACCATTTTCAAGCAAAAAGACATGGATTATTGAAAGAGAGAGGGGCTTAAAGAATGGAGAGGTCTTAGTAAAATTATGGTGTCTTCATTTAAAAGCAGATCTTGCTATATTTTACTGGCATCATGAGGGACAGCTTTCAGCCGTCTTTATGATTTCTTGTGGGGTAGTATCAATTAATTTATTATAAATGGGCTTAAAATAGAATTAAAAGTTGGAAATCAGGCAGAATTGACTATATGTTTTGCATCAGCAATCTTATTTGGAAAATGTTAGCTACATTGCTGTTGATCATCGTAGGGCCTCATAAAAAGACGGCTTCCTAAACTGAAATAAAGGAATTGCAGCATCTAATTGGATAGCTGAATTGGCTAAGCACTGAAACAAGGCTGGATGCCAGTTTTGAAGTATTAGAGTTGAGTTCAACTGTGGCAAAACTCCAGATTAGAAGATATTATTTGGGTGAACAGAACATTGAAAAAAACATTAAAGATGGAGAATTGTGCTTTGAATGCCCATTATTGGGAAATATCGGGAAGCAGAAATGTGTTGTGTTTAGTGATGCTTCTTATGCAAATCTCTGATGGGTTATCAACTGCAAGAAAGTTTATAGTTTATTTTCTTGTGGGAAAGGGAAATAAATGTAGCCGTTTTGTTTGGGAAGCTAAAAAGACCAAGAGAGTTGAAAAAAGTACCTTAGCAGCAGAAACTCTAACTCTTGCTCAAGTGGTAGAGGCATTTTGCTTAGCAAAAATATTGGAAGAAATTCCAGAAAGTAATTCAGCAGCAATACCTGTTGAGGGCTCCATTGATAATAAGTCAGAATGAGATAATGTGCGCTCATTGAAATATGTGACTAATAACAGACTGGGAGTTGACATTGCAGTTTAAAAGAGATGCCAGAAAACGAAGAAACTTCTGAAATGGAGTTAGTGGATAACAGCAATCAACTATCCAATTATGTAACAAAGAAAGGAGCAAGCCATAAGAAACTGTTGGACCTGTTAGAATAAAGACACTTGGAACTTTAGTATGAAAAGAAAAATAAAGAGAATGGAATGTGTTGTGCTTTTGTTTATTTTGGTTCTTGTATATCTATACAGATTTATTTAAAAAGAATAGAATTTGTTACCATCTGATGAGGTTTGAAGGGACGTCTGAGTCTAAATAGAATTGGGAACAGGTAATAGATATATTAATTAAGGATTAATTGGGTGAGAATTGGTTATATAAATATGGGAGCTAGTCATCTGTGTTGCAAGATTTTTATATCGTGTGGTTCACTGAAATAAAGCTCTCACTAAAAAGAATAAACTTAGGATACTGTTGAAAAACATTTATCTTCAAGTATATGACAGAGACAAGGTCAGATGTAAGATTTCAATCTCCAAAGTAGTAGTCTGGAATGTTTAAATAACATTTGTCATTGTCTCTCAAACAAGGCACTATCCCAATCTGATGAGCTTTAGCAACAGTCGTATAGTAGGTCACATCAGACATACTTTGTTCCAATATGTTTGTAGAAATTTGTGTCCTTTGTTCATGGTTCTTTTTTGTTTCTGAATCTATTAACAAATCTTTATTTTCTTAGTCCTGTTGCAAGGCTTATGAATACATGGGATACATTATGGAAAAAGAACAATCTTATAAGGATGCAGCTACTAATTATGAGATGGCTTGGAAGTATTGTAACCAGACAAATCCAACAATAGGTAAAATCAAAATTACCCGGACTTGTCACAATCAGATATTACTATAGATATTAAATGCATTTGCAATACTGCTTCTGAAAAATTGACACTACTTTCAATTTTACAGGGTACAAGTTGGCTTTTAACTATTTGAAGGCAAAACGATATGTTGATGCTATTGACATTTGTCATAAGGTAATATGTTTAAATTCAATCCTTGATCTTGTCTTCAGAATAGAAGACCAATAACAATCGAGGCATATTGATAAAACAGTATCCTCTATACAAGCAGTGACTGATCTACTCCTGTAGCACATCATCCCCTCATCTGTTTCAATCAACAGGTTTAGTGATGAATCCCAAATTGTCACTTCTCACTCTCATGCTCGCTCTCACTCTCACTCTCCTGTGTGAATGTGTGTGTGTATTTCTTTAATGTTTATCTTGGTTATCTGTCCTCATTTCTCTGATCTGTGTCCTCCTGGAAGCCTCAATCACTGGAAATGATCTGCTACTAACTCTGTCCTGTTCCATCATAAACACCTCTTAAATCACCCTACATTCTCCTAAAAAAACCAAAATGCTGCAGTTGTTGGAATAAAGCTGAAATAAAAACAAATGCTGGTAATAGTCAGCAAGTAAGGCAGTGTCTATTGAGGAAGACAAAATTAATGTTTCAAGTTAATGACTTTTCATCAGAACTGGTAAAGATGGGAAAAAAGCTTGCAAATGCTGATATTAAATTCCGTTTGTTAGATCTTGCCCATTCTACCATCTTAGTAATGGCTTCTTTTCGCTTCATTTGGTCCTCAATGATTTGCAATGCCTCCCACTAAAGTATTAACTGCAAATTTAGAAACCACTCCTTCCGGGTATACTTCCAAGTCATTGAAAAATAGTGAATGAAAAGTATTCTGTTAATTCAATTTGCTACCCTTGCTGTAATTTAATACTCCTTAATCTCTAATGTTTAGCACCTTGTCTTGCTTCAATGGCTATGGATGAGAAATAGTTTTTTTTCCTCCCCTGCAAGGTGAATGAGATTGACAATCTCACTCATAATCATCATCAATCTAGAAATTTGAATTCATTACCAATTCCTTTCTCCAGTCAATATTGTATAAATGTATTTCAGATGTAACAATAGTTATTGTTCTTTGTCATGACTTTATGCTGTGAATTTCTTATTGTAAATAACTGATTATGCCTATTCTAATAACTTTATCATTAACATGAATCTCAGATGTTAACTGACATTCATTGCAATACTGCATAAAGCAGAACAAAGAACTACGGATGCTGAAGATCTGAAATGAAAACAGAAATTGTTGGAGAAACTGAGAAGGTCTAGCAGCATCTGTGGTGAGAAAGCAAAATTAATTTTGAATCCAATGATTGTTCTTCAGAACTGATAGCTAGGAAAAGGTGGTATATATGCTAAAGACGGACGGAGGAGAGGAATAAGTGGATAGATGGAGATGGAGCCCAGAGAGAGGAATAATACGGTTCGGGAGACAAAGGAAAAAAAGCTGATAATGGAGCCCCTAAGTGGGTCAAAATGGGTTGGCTGTGCTAAAAGCAGCCCACATGATGACAGTGCGAGGGTGAGTGTTCAGGCCTTAAAATTTATTAAACTCAACATTGGGTGCTTAAGTGGAAGATGAGATGCTGTTTTTCAAGCTTGTGCTGAGCCTCACAGGAGTACGAGGCAGGTCCGAGACAGACATGTTGGCCAGGGAACATAATGGTTTGTTGAAGTGACAGGCAACGGGAAGTTTAGAGTTGTTTTTATGGACTGTGTTCCCTGGTCAACATATCTCTCCGCATTGCTCCAGCAATTCTTGTTTTGCATCACATTTAACTAGTATTAGTTCTGATGAAAAGTCATACTGTACCTAAACATTAACTCTGTTTCTCTCTCCATGGATGCTGCAAGACCTGCTGAGTTTTTGTAACAGTGTCTTTGTTTCAGATTTCCAGCATCGGCAGTGTTTTCCTTTTATACCACATTAAGCAGTATATAACCTACTATTCTACTTTGTGGCAGTACCAAATAAAGATAAACCATTTTATATGGAAACACTTAAGTCATTCATTGTGTGTAAAGTATTAAGATTTTTGAGGAATACAACGTGATCCTTTACAAATGTACATCTTAATTGTTTTGGCATAAAATGAAGTAGATTAAGGTACAATTTTTTTACAATCTAACTTAATTAGACAAATGTTAAGAGGGAGGTTCTTATTGTTACTATACTAAGCATAACAGATATTTTTTTTAAAATTACTAAAAAGAATAAAAAGGGAAAACTTGAGTGAAAGAAAGCTAAATATTTTATAAAGAATTAGCAAAGTGAGCTTGCATAAAGTCAAACTGGTGAATTAGTAAATGAAATTAAGGAAATGGCAGGTGAATTGAAAGGTATTTTGCATCAGTCTTGACTGTAGAAGATACTGTAACATACCAGAATCAGCAATATATCAGGAAATGGAAAGGAGGAAGGAACTCAAAAATCACGATCACAATCACTAGAGAGGATTGTACAGAGTAAATCGTTGGAGCTGTGGGCTGACAAGTGCGTGGATCGTGATGGACTTCAACCCATGGTCTGAACAGAAGTGGCTAATGGGATAGGTGATGGATTGGCTTTAATTTCCTATGACTCTCTTGATTCTGGAATGGTTCCACAAGATTAGAAGATGGGGCCGTTTTATTGAAAAATAAAGTGATGCAGAAAATAGAAAACTGCAGGCTAATTAGCTGAACGACTATGTTAGAAACTATTATTTAAAATGTTACAGCAGGGCACTAGGACATGGGCAAGGTAATTGAGTGGGGTCAACACAGTTTTGTGAAAGGGAAATCAAGTTTAACCATTCTCTTGGAGTCCTTAGAGGAGGTAACACTTGTTAATAGAGGGGAACTGGTAAATGTACAGTATTTGATCTATTATACATAGCACATACAGTATCTAATGCAATTTAATCGATCAGCCTTTGTATCAACTGGTGGAGATCCTTTCAAGTAAGATTAATATTGTTTCTCTTTCTCAATGTAAAAATTTAAGTTACCATAAATTAACTGTGATAATATCATTTTATGTTTTCACTTTAATCCCTGATTAAAAAAAAAATACTACATTGCATAGGCATCACTTAAGCATGTGACTGAGCTGAACTAGTGAATTTTGTCATTTAGCAACAACCAAGCAACAGTTCTAATGGCATTTACCATGCTCTAATATTTCCCCATTCCCATTTTCTCTCACCCATCTATCCCATTTTAATCATTGATGTTAATGTTGTTTTTATTTCAAACACGAATCCTGGAAGTACATTACACAACCTTACAACTGTTTGTAATTTTATCCTCATTGTTTATAAAACTGTTACATTCAGTCATTTAGTCTAGATAATTGGTTGAGTGGCAGATCACAGAAAGTAGGGATAGTGGGTAGGTACTCAAATTGGAAGAATGTGATCAGTGTTGTCCCATGAGGATCTGTGTTAGGGCCTTAATTATTCACATTATTTATTAACAACTTGGATAATTGCATAGAAAATTATATATCCAACTTTGCTGATGAGACAAAGTTAGGCAACATTATAGACTGTATAGAAAGTATAAAATTACAAAGGGATGTTGATGGACTAAGTTAGTGGGCAACAGGAATTCAATATAGGCAATTATGAGGTTATCCATTTGGACCAAAAAAGGATAGATCTGGGTACTTTCTAAATGGTACAAAGATACATACAGTAGATGCCCAAAGAGACTCGGGTGTTCAGGGGCACAGATCTTTAAAAATGCCATAAATAGGTGCAGAAAATAATCAAGAAAACTAACAGTATGCTGGCCTTTATGTCTTAAGGACCAGAGTATAAGGATGCAGAAATTATGCAGCAGTTATACAAAACCCTGGTTAAACTCCACTTGGTGTACTGTGAGCAGATCTCGGCACTACACCTGAGGAAGGCTATTGGTCTTGGAGAGAGTACAACATAGGTTCACAAGATTAATACCCCAACTTCAGGGAGATTTAAATTATGAGGTGAGATTATGCAAATAAGGCCTGTTTTCTCTAGCATTTAGAATGTTAAGAGGGTGATCTGTTTTAACAATATAAACAGGAAGTTAGGTGAAGATAAATTATTCCCACTAGTTGGGGATTCTAGCACTAGGGGGCATAGTCTAAGAATTAGGACCAGATTATTTAGGAGACATGTTAGGAAACACTTTAACACAAAGGGTAGTAAATGTTTTGAACTCTCCTTCACAAATGGCAGTGGATGCTGGATTGGTTATTAATTTTAGATATGAGATAGATAAATTTGTGTTAAGCAAAGCTATTAAGAGATTTGGGCCACAGGCAGTTAGAGTTACGCCGTAGATCAGCTAGATCTCATTGAATGATGGAACATGCTCGAGGGGATAAATGGCCTACTCCTGTTTCTGTGTTATATCCAAGGTCCTTGGTCTTGACCCCTTGTCTACTGGAAGCACACTGCTTCTCTTTACCTGTCCCACTGTTTAGTATCCTTAAACATTAACATTATATCATCTAACCAGTACCATTGTTATGGGAAAATATTTAATTTTACAAATTTCTATTTCGTAAGTCTCCTTAGAAAACTTTCTGGAAAAGGTCTTTGACTTATGAACTATGTTGCAAGTTTTTTTCCAATGAGTAGTTTTTTTTCTAGACTTCAATCTTAGACCAGCTAAAAGGCATAATAAATATCAGCAATAAACCTCAACAGGTAAATTTTGTATCATATGTATATAAATGTGTCCTTTTTGAACAGTAGTTCATTTAAGCTTTGTGTAGGATTTAAGGTTTCTTTTGGAGTAAATTAAATGCAGCATAAAGTTCTGTTCCAACCTCAGAAATCTTGAAGGACTTGAATTTCAGCATCTGTCAATTGTTCTTTTTAACCACGGATTAAGAATTCTCTGGACATTTTTAATTCTTATGGGCTAGCATTAATTCTTTAGCTAAGAATCAAAGAATTTTGAATTGTAAGCAAGGGTTAAAATTCAGCTATTGTGATTCTTAGCTTTAGAAAACTGCAAATATTGCAGACTCATTCTCGTTCTTTATTTTAAGATTTCAGATTAAAATAGTACAGGGTACATCAACAAATAACGTTCCATAAAATTCCATAAACACTCCTGAGAAAATAATGGGGCCTGAAGAACAGGGCAGAGATAGTGAATAGCACATGTGAATGACTGGAAAGAAGCAGGCACTCCTCAGAGCAGTGCTGGGAATTTTTAAAAAAATCAATAGATCACATTGAAGTGACATTTTTGTTGACAGAGACTGCAAATCTGGGGCGTAAAAATATATCAGCAGCAAAAGTTAATGAAATATAAACACCAGGAAAGAAAGAAATGTAATAACATTTTAGAAACAAATAATTTTGAAAGATAATGTATCTGATTTGGGAATAAGAAAAATAGTGGCACGTTGATGAGGAAGTGATACTAGACTTGAAATGTGAACACTTTCCACAGATGCTGCCAAACTTGCTGAGTTTCTCCAGCATTCTATTTGTTTCAGATTTCTAGCATCTGCAATTTTTTTTTAATTTTATTAATCTGAACAATGTTAGTTTCTAGAAATAACAGAAGTTAATGAATTGTTACATTGTTGCATATTAGGTGTAGCTGCTCACTTTTCCTTTTAAGTTACCAAGTCATGACAACTAAGAAGATTTTTTAAAAATTTTGAATAAACATTTATAATTTAAAACAAATGATATTTTATTTTCTTTTGGTAGGTATTAGCCGCCCATCCCAATTACCCAAAAATGAGGAAAGATATTCTTGACAAAGCTCGAGCAGCTCTCCGTTCTTAATTGGGTCATATGATGCTAGCTTTGCTTTCAGATATTTCTGAAGTATATGTATATTGTTTGACATGCCAATCTTGCATTATGTACAATTGCTTCTAATGTATAATTATCTAGATGTATTACTTTTGTATGCTTTATGACCCATGGTAGTTTATATACAAAGTTCCATAATAGTGTTTCATTGTTTTTACAACAATGTTATTTTCTTTTTAAATTACGAGTATCTGTGAAAATAAATTTGCATATGTATAATTCTCTAATTTTCTACAACACGTCAATGATGTAAAGCACAATCGTTCAGTTTAGATGATTCCCTAAAGGAGTTGATCCTGCAAGCGTCAGAATTTTCAAACCACTTGATAGATATTTTAAGTACAAATTAATTTGAGATGTCTTTGATGTCAGTGTTTATTGTCTTGAGCTTTTGGAAAGAGTCTGTCTATTCTGATTGACTTAAACTAAAAAGTGATCTGTATGTAGTAAATCACAGTATCTATAAAGACATTTTAAAGAAACAAATAAAACTAGATTAGATGTTGTATATTTCTATGAACCTGCAAAACATGCCAATGTATTTTTCCAATGCATGCAACTTAAAATTAGTTGCTGTGCATAGTTTAGATCGTCACGTGTTCCACTTCAAAACTAGTAAGTTCTTATTAAGCTTTCACTTTTCTGTCTTAATTTGTTTGCATTCTGCTTTTTGGTACCTTTTGTATTTCTGAATTAATTTACAAATATTGCTATTGAGTGGAGTAAAGGGACGTTCTGTAATTAGTGCTTTCTACTTATGGTTGTATTGTTAAAAACAAGAATTTTTTGCAATCTGATTATTTCAAAGTAAAAATCAATAAATAGGCAATGTTGATTTTTTTAATATTGAATTGCAGCTTTTTGTTGTATTTGTGTAATACATAGACATAATATTGCTCATAGAATATGTCTTCTGTCAAAATAAGCTGCCAAATTAAGCTCCTTAGCAACTTTTTTTCTCCGCCACGAGAAGTTCCATTTCCTCTGAACTGTCACCTGCATATTATTCATGTAAGTCACGGCCAGTCCTATTTCAGTGAGATCATCCGTTGAAAGTATACAAAGTAGACAGACTGTAATATCAGTCAACATGTGTGCTAATGAGTTCAACACTCCAGTTAACACACACACTTAAACAATGCCACTAGTACTATTTAACGAAACCATTATACACTTTTGGTTTAGTTGCTAACTGCTTTCTAATGGTACTTTTAATGATTGTTTATAGATTGATGTTTGCAAAATTGGTTAGAATGAACAAGAAGTGGTGTGGCATGAGTTGTAGGAATTGTAATAACATCAAGCAAGTATTTTGCATGATTCATTTGCTCACAGACTTATCTTCTATGTTTCTACAACCTGCAGTGCAGAGGCTCCTTGGCCTACATCACCATAGAAAGATGGAGCAGAAAGATGAAATCTGGTTAGGCTGAACAGCACAGCTAAGAATTCATGCTCATTGCTCAAATAACCTGGGTCTGTGACAAACTCTTCAGCGCAAGTTTCCTTTCCTGCAGTGTGTAAACAATTGCTTCTGGGAAGCATCAACTTCCAAAATGGTCCCTTTGATTGGATAGCAGCATTGCAATATGCTATCCTGGTTCAATAATGCTGCTTAGAAAGACCCAAACACTCTGATCTTTCTGTCACACATGGGGTTTATCTTTGTGAAGAAGTTCAGTGAGCACAGTTGCTCATTCAACAGAATTACAGACAAAATGGAGCCAAAACATTGATCAACACTAGGCACTAATGCAATTCCTCTAGCTTCTTGATTCTGACATCCTCTGTTTTGTTGGGGTCTCAGTCTATTCCTTTGGTGCCAAAGAAGTTGGTGTGTACATTGTTGTCATGGCACTTCTTTCTATAAAATACGAGGCCCTCACAAGAAAGAAATTGCATTAGCAAATTCAATTTTTGGTCATGTTCTAACTTGCTCTATCCCATCATCACAGTGTCATTGGCTGTATAGATACAGACTGGGGCAATTTCTGTTAATGTATCCATCTATTGTGGGATTACATCGTGACTAGCAAACCAGAAGTCATCTGAAATAGTATATCATAAATGGTTTAGATGTTGCGAGCAGCTGAGATGTTGGATAAACTGATGGAACAATAGCCCTGCTTTGCATAGAGTTTTGAAAGCCATTTGGTATCAGTAAACATGGGGTTTAGTTCTTCAAAGTTCTTGATCTTTTATCGTATCACTTGACAGTTGACTTCAACCATGTCAGATTTAAGAAAATCCTGAGTTTCCAATTTATTTTAAGTGAACAGGTGATGGATCTTCCTCAGTTGATTTGTCAATGCTTTTGGCAGATGACTCAGTTGTGAACTTCCCATTGATTTCCACTTTATTTTGTTGAGTTCAAACAAGTGGACAATAATGTTCCTTGTGTCTGCAAAGAACATGGCTTTATGAATTCAACAGTGTAGCTTCCAGTAAAGTATGCCAATTCTGAATTAATTCTCAGTCCACTTCTTCAGTACTTCTGAATCCCCCCCTCTCACCCCACCACCACCACCACACCCTCCCGCCCCCGCTTGTCCAACAAGTGTTGTCTAACTGCAGTCCCTTCTGATGCTGGACACTGTATTGTGAGTTTTTCAAGAGTGACTGGTTGGGTAAGGGGTTGTTGTGAACAGACTAAGGAATATGCTGTTTGACATGATCTGCCAGGCTTTTAGATGTATAGCCTAAATGTCTGAAATTCATATATGATATTACTCATTTGTACAATGCGTAGAATGTCTTTTCAGCAAGATCCTGTTAATGCCAAACACAACTTGGATTGCTAAGGCATAGTGGCAGAGTGAAACAGTTAGCTTCACTTGTTGCTCATATTTTTTGAGTGCCTTGGTCTACCTCAGATTACCTTGGAAGGGTAAGGTATTTCAAAAGTTTAAGTAACAGGTGAAGCCAACGGTGATTTAAATTCATTGCTCTGGAGCATTAGTCCAGGCCTCTAGATTCAGTCTAGTACAGTTAGCACTATACTTTCATCCCACAATTTGACTTGTGAGTTTCTGTTTCTGGAAGTTAGTTTACTTCCGATTTAGGAGGCTTTGCTTTCATAGGAGATGTGCTTTAGAAAAATCTGACAAATTGAAAAGGAATGAAAAATGGAGATTTATTTCCCATAAGAGTTGATGACTGAATTTTCAGTAACATGTTGAAATAACAACGTAAGAATGAAACAGCTGAATGAATATCAAAAATGGTGCTTTAATAGAGCTGGTCATGCAATGAATATCACAGCAACAAACAGCATGGATGTTGCTTGTATCTAATTCGTTGAGTATACCAGTTTACTTCATTTTGGGAAGAATTTAAAAGTAACCACCAGTTCATAATGGAAGAAAAAGTGATGGAGACACATGAAGGAACAAAAGGGGCTTTACCTTTTTAGGAGAAGAACCTGAGAATTAGGAATGCAGTTGCAAAGGACACTCAACAACTACCCAAGTCTCCTCCTTGTCTTCTCCTGGTCAGGCTGCAAGATTCTGCAATATTGAGAAACTCTGCTGGAAAAATTTTTATGCCCACCACAATGTCTTCCCCAGACAATATGGAGGCTAACATGGAGATGGCCCATTAACAGATGCAGGGATCGTGATGCAAGATTTACCCTGGCCCATTGCTTTCAGTGTAGTAAGCATACAACCTTTATGCAAGTTGTGCCAGTGCCCTCATCAGCCTGTCAATCTGCAGTCATATCTGCTCCCACCTATGGCAAAGTGATTGAGTTTGGAGCTGGGCCTTCTAAAGCAACAAACCTCAAATTCTGTATCTCAGCGCTCCTGTGTACCATGCTGAGACCCAGGCTGTATCCACGCCTGCTTATATCCTGATCGTTCTGTCTTAAGTTTCCTTCTTCTCCTAAAGATCGTGTGATGATGTCACTTGCAGTACTGCATGTATTGAACTCCAGCTCAGACTTTTAGAGCTGTTTGCCTCCTTGTTGGCGATTATATACGTATATCAATGCATGCTGGGTGGGGGTCTGTGGTTTGGGTACTAACTGTACTTGCTTACTAACACTAAGTATGTGAGTTAGATAAAGTGGACATGGATGTTGATTACATGGGGGTTATGGCGAAAGCAGCAAATTGTAATATGTTTAATTGAGGGAGATGGGCTGATTAGTGTGTGTATGCCTTGATAGTGAGGCTGATTACAATCTGAGAGTAGTGGAAAGAAGTTTCGTAGAATCCCCACAGTGTGGAAATAGGCCATTCAGCCCAATAAGTCCGCACCAACCCTCTGAAGAGCATTCCACACAGATCCATCCCCCTAACCCCGCATTCCCCATGGCTAATGCACTTAACCCACTCATCCTTGAACACTATGGGTAATTTAGCATAGCTAATCCACCTAACTTGCATATCTTTGGACTGTGGGAGGAAACCACAGCACCTGGCGGAAACCTACGCAGACACGGGGAGAATGTGAAAACTCCATACAGGCAGTCTCCCGAGGTTGGAATTGAACTCGGGTCTTTGGCACTGTGAGGCAACAGCATTAACCACTGAGCCACCGTGTCACCCTAAAGTCTCATTGACAAGTCCTGTTGTTGCGTCGTGTTAGTCTCCCTACCCTTGAATTGAGAGACCTGGGTTTGAAGTCCCACCAGCTCCAGAGGTGTGTAGTAACATTTCTGAACAAGTTGATTAGAAAAATAGGTTAAATTTTTAAAAATGAGCCTCCTTTCACCAGAGGTAAATCTAATGTTCTATGCTTGATCCGAGGTGTTCCACTCTTCCAGTAGAATCCAGTGAAACGACAGTCCCTGGGCCTGTAAATATTATTTGTATCATTTGAAATCCTCAGTAAAATGTAAAGCGTTTATTTGACTCATCTTCCATTAAAATCAACAATGGTCTTTATGAATCCTGCTGTAATGTTTTGTCGATCACTAAATGCTCTTGGCCGTAGTCCATGGGCTGGAGCAGTTGAGACAAAGAAATGGAATGGTGAGGACCTAAGAAGATAACATGTTATCATAATACTTCAGAAAGGGATGTATATATTTATATGATGTCATATTGGTCTATAATATGTGAACTATAATAATTATACACTGAATGCTACTATGTTACTCCATTGCTGTTTTGTTTTTGTTGGCATATCGATTCACAATATCTTTCAACTGCTAAAATGGGGTTATATTGGAAAATAGTTTGGGAAGCCCTGTTCTACAACCTCCGAAGCCATTTGCAGCTGATTTCCAAGGGGCTAGAATTCTTTTTGACTGAAAGACACACAGATTCCTCTTTGATTCAATGATTTTAAATTCTGAACAAGCCCCCACTTGCAGCTGATGGTATTATGGGATATGTTTGATTCCAGAATAAAATCTAATCGGTTATTCATTGAAACATATTCACATGAGGCTGCTGAGTTTCAATCCTTGATTTTTAAATTTAATTATTATTTTTTAAAAAATGAACCCTTTTATTATTCCATACCCACAGTATGGAAACAGGCCATTCAGCCCAACAAGTCTTTCCAACCCTCTGAAGAGCACCCTGCATAGACCCATCTCCTTAACCCTGCATTTCCCATGGCTAATGCACCTAACCCACTCATCCCTGAACACTCTGGGTAATTTAGCATGGCTAATCCACCTAACTTGTAGATCTTTGGACTGTGGGAGAAAACCTACTCGGGCACGGGGAGAATGTACAAACTCCACATAGACAATTGCCCAAGGCTGAGATTGAACTCCAGTCCCTGGCACTGTGAGGCAGCAGTGCTAACCACTGAGCCACCATGCCACCCTGATGTCTCATTGAAAAGAAAAATAAAGACCTTCAATTTTCACTCCACCTGTCTCAAACTAGTCCAA